GTGTCATTATGGAACATCGAAACATGTACATGTGATAATAACTGAATTGTAGTTTTATATTTTTGACGCTATATAAATTACATACTAATAACAATATAGTGTTTTATATTAACATACTTCAAGTTGAATTATCTGATTAGAAAAATCTACATTCTCGAACTTCGCACAAGTTCTGCTAATTGCGAATATTATGCTGCCATGAACCGAGCCCGGCCATCGTCCCACTATGTCCGTGAACTTCAAGTCCGAGTCACAAACTGCCTGGACGTTGATAGAAAAATAACCCTTTCTGTTGCGGTAAAGTTTTGCATTTGGACCACCTGTAGTTGACAACACAGCTTATTTTTACATATCTTTAAATCTGCGATAATCTAGCAAAACGATATTAGGTAGAAGAGTATTTATTTTCAGTGACACAACAGTCAGTGGAATTTGCGTAATAACTGATAGTAATTTTTCAGTTAGGTGAATGTAAATATAATATACTGTATTAGTATAGAAATTAAGATGACTTCAGTTATCTTTTAATAAATATTTTAACTTTTAAAGTGAATAACAGTGTATCATTTTGTTTCAGCGAATTTAAGTGATTTGATGTTTCCGGATTTAGTTAGAAATATTAAAGGAGTAAAATTTTCTCACAATAAAAATATGAATATTTAGAAACAACATGTCTATCAACCTAGTGAAGGAACTTAATGTGGGGACAATCAATTGCTCCAACAATGCCTGGTATTCCTCCCATTTCTCGGAACTTTTTTTGATTGGCTATCTTGCTGTTTCCAACTAAAAATTGTATAAATTCATTTCTTTTGGCAGCGATAAGTTTGGAAATCCGGACGATCATCCGACTTGTAGTTGGCTGCGATATGTTTAAATGTTTACCAACGACACTTTGAAATGAACCCGTTGCGTAAAACCTTGAAGTTCCAAGAAATTGTAAAATAGGCGGAACTGATATACCGCGAGCTGAATCTAATCTAAATGGTTCGTGTATCAGTCCATAAATAAATTGTGCACATTCCTTCTTAAATCTAAATTTCTGATAAAATACTACTTCTGCCATAAATTCAAAGGGATTATCTCTATCCCTAAGTATTCGTCTTTCTACATTTATTTCCTCAAATTCTGTCAGTTCATGTATATGATCCATTCCAATGGACAAAAATTCAAAATCAATACTCAAAACTAAGTGGTATTCAGTTTTATTTTATTGAAGACACCTCAAGGTAGACCCAGCCCAATCTCACAAATCCTCAACTTTCCAACGTTCACTCAAAACTTACTTTATAATCTGAATACCACTTTACTGAAAGGTTGAGGACACTCTTGACCGTTAGGCAATTTTATATGGGATTAACTCATTGATTGTGAGTGTAAGTATCGATTCAGAATACGGACCTAAATGTCCTACGTGTACATTTTTTCTTATTTATAACTATTTTTAACATTATTGTAACTATCTTTGCTTTAGCTCACCAGACCCTAAGGTTCAGGGTGAGCTATAAATATCATAGGGGGATGCTCCGTCGTCATGAGTCAACATTTATCTTCTTCTCTAAAACTGCTGGGCAGATTTTTACTTCAAATTTGGTCTGTAGCATCCTTGTTACAGTCATACTTAAATTTGCTCATATCATTTTCATTGGCCTCTTTAATGGGTCAACAGAGCCAAAAATAGAAAAACCCGTTGTACTGTAACCGTTTTGCTTAGTTCAATTATCTCTATATAAATACTGTTACCAACTACATTAATAAACACAACATTTCAAGTTCAATTCTGTTTTATTTGACATGAGTTTTACTACTAAGAAATTACTGATTTATAATAATACCAAATAAAATGTAATTCTATAATATGAAATACTTAGAATCAAAATAATAATAATAAGTCAACAAAGCTTTTAAATTGATAATGGAAAAGATGAAAAAATAAGATAATATTTTAAGAGACAGGTGGAGGCGGCTTAGCCCTTTGGCAGGTGAAAGTTACCTTATTGTCCGTGAACACAAGCAATGCGAATGGTAAAAAATCTCCCTTATATAGACTGTCTAAAAATGAACTCACAAAAAATTCATGCAAGATTATAGAGAAAATAGGGGTAGTTTCAATTTAATCAGTTACTTAAGAAAGCATTATCAATAAATAAGAAAAACCATAAAAGCGTAACATTTAATCATTAATCTTGTAATGACCAAAAATTTAAGAGGACCAATTTAACACTTAAAAAGTCATGGATTTAAGTGAATTTTAAATGTTTTACTGTAAACAGAAGAATTTTAGAGAGTAATAAATTTTAAGTTTAAAAGTTGAATTAAATTGTTTTAGAAATAATCAAAATCTGCCACATTCCACCTCCCTTAAAACAAAGTTTACAAAAAAGCATATAATTTTAAACTTTTAAACCATGCAATGTAGTACATTTTTAAAACAATTTATTCATGAAATATAATTCTGAACTTGATAAGATTAAACAGTCACTTCTAAAATTCTGAATGTTTTGTTATTGTCCTAGTTGATAATATTTTTGTATTTTAATACTTGTTGTCGATATCCACTGATATAATACATTTAGACCTCTTAAACTCTTTTCCTATTGTTTTACCATCATCCAAGAATCGAATAACCTCATCCCTGCAATCAGCCCTTGCAGTAACTAATGACGTGCCTGATTCTGCTCTTTCTATTGTATGTTTCCTCTGTTAGACAGGCGAAGGCGGTGGTTTTGGTATGAGAGGTGTAACGCCACCTGGATTGACATATTTGTGGTTGATAACCTCTTCTTAAAAAATAGCTTCTAGGATTTTGTGTTTCTTCCTGAGATTGGACTTCACTAAGTCCTTCCGAAAAAACCTTGACTGACAGGCCACTGGACAAGTGTACCGAGTTTGAGTTGGTACGTGGACACTGTCCCAGTTTTAAAGAAGTGAAATTTGTCAGTTTGAAAGGAGCATCCTTCAACTAAACATGCCGTTACTGTTTCTGGCCACTTTAGCGCACTTTCGGAACAAGGTGATGTTGATGATGAAGCGGGTTGATCGTAATCGTGGAGAAAATTCTCCATTTCATTCATGTTTACTTTAATATCAAGAATATCCATTATCTGCAAAGAAAGAAAGAAAAACAAATTGAAAGTAAATGGTTTTACTTTCAGTAACTTTTACCTTATACAATGAAATATTTAGAAATAGTATAATATTAGATAGAAAATTGATTGCTGATTGATTATTCAATATATCAATGTCAAATATCCTGGCCTGGACAATTTCAGTTCCCAGGATAAACCCTGTGTTTCTGCAAACAGGATGAAATTTAAGATTCAGAATTTGTAAGGTCTTTGGTAACCCTTTTACAAATTCTCTATCCAATTATATGAAATTGCCCTTATTTCACATTGAAATATAGAAATTCTAGGAAGTTGCAAAGCATATTTATACAATGAATATGTCAACCAATAAAATAATATATCCTGTCCCGGACAATAAAAAAACTCTCCAGGATGAATTCAGAGAAATTGTTTCTAGGACTTGTTATTATGCAAAGAACTTTAGGCTTCTATGATTAGCCTTTTAACGCAATGTAGCATAGTAAACAATCCTATTGTCCATATAAAACTCCATTGACTAAAACAGTCATTGTTTCATAAACAGCAATTTAATAATGTAACATATCTATGCAGTATTACTTAAAAATAAATGCTGAATTAAAGAAAGTGTATATAGAATACAAAGAAAAGGTAAGCCACCTCCAATTTCAAATGAAGAATTTCAGATAACTTTATTTCATTGCAATGAACTTGAAAAATGTTTTCTAATTAAGTGCAAAGAAAATTCAAAAGTTGATATATGTATATACATGCTTGTAGTTTTTTTGAAAACATATATGTATTATCAAACTATTTTATTTGTGCATCACCATTTATCAATTGGTGTAAAACAAATATTTTATTGTATATACATGAATATGTCATATACATTCAGAAAAGGTACCATTATTAAGTGATGTATAGATGTTTTTATACATAGTTTCTGAATTATTAGGAATTGTATTAAAAGTGAGTGAACTATAATTATATTGTAGTTTCTTAATGTTCATATCTGTTAAAGAACATTTTCTCTTTTTCTAAAAGTATTATTCGATAGTATGATATAAACTATTTCAATTTACAGCAAGTTTGTACATGTATTATGACTGATTTTTACTGTTAAACTGTGAAAATATCACCTTTGGTTTTATTCTACGGCCTGCTCAGGTTGTTCTACATAAATATCTTCTTTCTCCTTCCCCACCTTTATCAAAAGGACTTCTAATCCAATTACCTCTCTGGCGTGGGTTCGATCCCCGGGAGATGCTTTGGTAGTTTAGCGCGGAGGAAGGTAGTCTAGTACTGGTGTAACTCTCCAGGAACGATGGTTAGGAAACTACCCGCCTATATGACTGAAATACTGTTGAAAAAGGCGTAAAATGAAACAAACAAACTTTATCAAAAGGAGTGAAATTTGACGGCAATGAGTTATTGGTCTCATTTTGTGCATGTGAAGGCATTATTTGTGTATCATTGTGTAATTGTGATGCTGAATCATTTTCTGTTTGGGACCCATGATAAAGTTTTAAGTGGTCAACATGAACTACAAGAATCTTGTGAGAAACTTGGTGTTCGATCTGATAGGTTAGAGTTGTAACCTTTTTCAGGACTTTGTAAGGACCAACCCAACCATTTTGTGCTATCATGAATGTCATAAGAACGAAAGGAAGGTGATCATCCCGATCGTTTCTGTTTTCATTAACAAACATCGCCAGCGCATCATTTGAACAGTTCTGATATTTCTTTCTGACAAACCATCAGATCGAGGATTGTAAGGTGTTTTCCTCGTCTTTTCTAGACCCAGTAATATGCACATTTCTTTAAAAAGTGTAGACTCAAATTCAGGACCTTGATCACTTTGGATAATGGAGGGTACACCATGTCTGCATATGAATTCTGTGACTAGTTTGTCGGTTACCGTAAGAGCAGTATGGTCTCTTCTACATACTTTGTAAAATAGTCACTTATGACCACAATATACTGGTTACCATCAGAAGTACAAGGCAAAGGTCCCAGAATGTCGAGAGCTATACGGTCAAGAGGCTGATATGAAATTTCTTGCTGTATATGTGATTTTCCACAACCTGGACCTGGTTTTCTTCTAGCACACATATCACAAGATTGAACCCAACGTTTAATGTCACTAGTGAAATTAGGCCAATAGAATCTTTTTTTTATTGAAGCAATAGTTCTGTCTCGACCTAAATGCCCTGCAATTCTGTTAGTGTGCAGGTGGTTAAAAACATCAGTTCTTAGTTTTTGTGGTAACACTAATCTTAAAGTTTGGTTTTCATGTTCCCGCCATAGCAAATTGTTTTTAACAATGAGAGATTCCCAAAGAGTCCAAAAGGTTCTAACATTTGTGTTATATTGTGCTATTATATGTTTTGAAGGTTTATCCTTGGATTTAAGCTTAAAGTCTAGAATGATTCTAATGTCAGGATCCTGCTTTTGAAACTCTAGCAATTCCTTATTTGACCATTGACCTATCCAATTTGAGTTCATAACCGGAATTTGATTTTCGGCTAGGCTTTGGTTTTGAGCATTGCCATCACTTTCTACATTTAATGTGTGAATTGGAACTTCACTATTCTTATCATTAAATGTAAACTTTTGAATGGATGATTGGGATGAAAAGCCGTTGCTTTCTTTATGACTGTCTGTACTAGACAACTGAGTGTCATTGCTTGCCTCAAATATACAAAACATGTTTTGTAAATCTTGTCCAAACTCCGTGTCTGAACACTGAACATCATATTGAGTGTTATTTTCTTCATATTTAGTGTGTGCCTTTTGAACACTAAAAACTGTGTTGTCTTGCAGAACACTTGCATCTTTGTTAATATTCTTAATACAATGACCTGTGCTTGAATTGTGAACACTATAGACCGTGTTCATATTTTGAACACTATTATCTGAAATTTTAACACTTTTTGCTAAGTTTTCAATTGGAACAATACAATTTTGGTTCACTTGAACTCTATGACATGTATTTGAACTTTGAACACTGCAATCTATATTTGGATTTTGAAGGCCACAATCTGGACAGTTGGTTCTTTTGCAAGTACGTTTCCTAATGGGAATTCTAGATAATGCATCGGCGTTTGTGTGTAAACTACCCTTTCGATATTGTATTGTAAAATCATAAGTATCAAGTACGGCTAACCAACGGGCTAACATTCCTTCTGGCTCTTTGAAATTTTTTAGCCATATTAAGGATGCATGGTCAGTTCTTATTAGGAACTTTCGACCCCACAAGTAATGTCTGAAATACTTGACAAAAGTTACCACTGCTAACAACTCTATAAAGGTTGTACAATATCTTTGTTGTGATTTGCTGAGAGATTTGCTTGCATATGAAATCACTTTTTCTTCACCGTTTTGTTCTTGTGACAATACACAACCTATACTGGTATTGCAACCATCTGTATCCAGAATGAACAAGCCATTTTCTTGCGGAAAAGCTAGGACAGGTGGTGAAGTTAGTTTTTCTTTAAGCTTATCAAAACTTTCTTGACAATCTTCTGTCCAAATAAACTTTTTCTTTTTCTGAGTAAGTTCATTAAGATGAAATGTTAAATTTGCATGACCTGAAATGAATTTTCTATAATATGAAGCCAAACCAAGAAAACTTTTCACTTCAGATTTGTTTGTGGGTACAGGCCAACCTTTAATTGACTGAATTTTATCTGGGTTACAAGATATCCCTTCCTCAGAGACAATATGGCCAAGATAATGAACTTGTTTCTTGAAAAGATGGCATTTCTTTGGTTTAAGTTTCAAATTTGCAGCGCGAAATCTAACAAAAACTTGTTTCAAATTTTCAAGTGTGCTTTCGAAATCTGGACCAAAAACAATTATGTCATCTAAGTAGCAAAGACATTTTTTCCATTGCATACCTCTTAGAACTAATTCAATTAGGCGTTCAAACGTTGCAGGTGCATTTGATAATCCAAAGGGCATGTCCTTAAACTGATAATGGCCGATATGCTTACTGAACGCTGTGAGAGGTTTACTGTCAAGATGCAATTTTACTTGCCAATAACCAGACGCTTAGTCCAAACTGCAAAAAGATTTTGCTCCAGAAAGCGAATCTAGTGCAAATTTATTTCTGGAAGCGGATATGCATGCTGGGACGTCATTGAACGCCGCCCTTCCATGTTGATCTTGTTTTCCGTATTGTTTACAAGGTATGTTCAAAAAGTTCGTGGACTTTTGATGTCATTTTTTTACTTGGATCTTAAAAACAAACTTTTAGAGTGTCTTTATTTCTAAAAGTAAGATTACTATTATTGTAAACTTTAATTTCCTTTACGAGCTATGTACTCTTTAATAACCATGGTAACGCTACATCGGCGCACGCCAAAAATTTCATATCATGTTTAAATGTAAACAAATGTTGAAACAAACTGAATGGCCATTTCATAAAATAACTACAATTAAACATCTATTAATATTAGATTGACATAAATCTGAAATTTGACATCGTTTGGATGTTAAATGGCTGAACAAACCGGTTTTGAGTAACAGCAGACGGTCGGGTAAATTGCGAAATATAAAGCACGTTTATAAACTAGAAAAGCGCACTTTTGGAAGGTTTTGTAAACATATTGTATTGATTATTTTCACTATATATTAAGGACATATTCCAATATCTGTCTTTTATTAAATCGTGTAAGCAAATCAAAAGATTGAACAGTTGAGCCGCAGTCCACGAACGAACTTTTTGAACAGCCCTCGTACCCTCGCCAATGACCACAGGAGCGAGCATTTTCTTCATTTCTAGCTACAATAATTTGATTATGTTAGTTACATCATTGTGCATACCAAAGACGTCTGTTTGTCCGTACAGTGGTATAGGAACGGACTGGTGACCTCCCATTCTATGAATTGAATAAAAATTAAATTTACGTGTAAATGCTTCATATGCTTCTTAACCGCCCATTATGTCTAAGAAATGCTATAATTTTTATTTCTCAGAAATTACATTTTTGGTATCGTATTACATTTTTCCAAGAAAAATTGCCATACAGACGAATTAGCTATGCTCCTTTTGCATTGTTGGCAATTGGTATAATTATAGTGAATTAGTATTTTGTATGGAAGTCAACATACATTTGTACTACTTTGTTTATAGTTTGCTATCTTTATGACACATTAATGCACATTAAGCATTTCCCAGCTGTTGATACCCTAAATCCATTATCACACTTATTTGACATTTCTATTGAATTCAAATACTATGGATTTTTGAGGCACAATATGCCTTTAAAATTTGCCAATACGTTTATAAAAAATACCGTATAACAATTCACCATTAAAACTTTAAGTTTGTACTTGACTTAAAACCGGAATTCACAATAAAACTTGTGCAAAAAATATATTGTTGAAATATAGCTACATTGAAGTGATATATATAAGTGACACATATATATTCTTTAGACTAGATTGCGTGATTTGGTTCTGATTTGTAGAAAAAATTGTGATTACAAAAAGGAATTCAATCCGATTTTGTAAAATTTGTGCATTTACGTATTGTCCTATATCGACAAGTTTGACGCACAAACCGGATGGAAATATAGCAAAAAATCATCTACATGATACACCTGAAATATGTAGTAAAGGCCATCATCTGATTGTAGCGTTCTACTGACGTACCTATAGAGCTACAGTCAATTGGCAAACTAATGGCATTTAAATTGATCTAATATCATACATACATACATTCAGGAAAACATAAGATGAATGTAAACTAATCAATGTTATGCAAAAAATATTTATTGCATTTTGATAGCTTGAAATGCGTGTTTCCATGAAATGTAACATTAATTATAAAGAAAATGCTTCCGTTTCGAACATATTCCAGGAAATAAATCTGATTATAAACCAATAAAACATAGATGATTATTATATTGCAAATTGATCTAGTGTATTTCAAATGCAATTAAGAAATCTTATAAAATTAAGTTTTTAAGCACACGCCTCTACATTCATTACATTCCAATGTTTATGTCGGATTTTATTATGCTTACAGTATTCAAATTAAATCAATGGAATAAAACTGTTTTTGTTGTTTTTTCTTGTTTGTTCGTTTTTAGCTCACCTGAGCACTTTCGTGGTCAAAAGTGAGCTTTTGTGATCACTGCGTTCGTCGTACGTCCGTCAAATTCTTTAAGCAACACCTCCTCCTATTATTCCTGGCATGGAACTCTTTAAAAAATGTTGACATAATTCCATTCCGTGCTAAATTTTGGTTGCCGTGCCAATTTAAAAAAAAAATGAAAAGGCATATCTTCTAGTGGGTGTATGCCAAAATTGTTCAAATAAAAAACATGGGGTCAAAATTTACATTCGTCGTGCCTCCTTCAAAAAAAGCGTAAAACCCTTTGACACAACATCACAAATAGGCCAATATTGTTAACAAAAAGCAAGAATATTCCTGGCAGCTAGTGCTTAGATATTTTGAATGAAACACCTTCTAGTGGGTGTCTAATCAGTTGAAATTAAATTGAATTTCATAGCAACCATTTATTTCCAAGGAAACCATTTATTTTGTATAGCAAACAGTGACATCTTCTGGAACTGTTGTTTTCTCTTGGCAATCACAACCAGTGAAGTTTTTCAAATTCACTACGATTATTTCAGATAGAAATATGGACTTTGTGATTATCAGTTTAAGATTTAAATTTTATATCCACTTTCATTAATAATATACAATGTTTTTTCAATGACAGTAATGACAATGCCAAATTTAGCTTGCACCGGTTCATCAAATTATATATAGTTATTATAAGAATCTAGCCTAACATCATTTGTTTGAAACAGTAAGTTGCGATTTCTTTTTACTAGATGTCATATACCTATTTTTGTTTCCAATTGTATCGATAGTACAATAATACATGAATTCCACATTTTGGTACCATATATACATTTAACAATAAGTTTTTCGTTTCTAAAAGCAGGCTAGTAAAAAGTGTTTGTTAGTCAAAAGCAATTTCCTTTCAATACGTAGTTAACGCCTTGCATTGTCAGCTATGTCTTCCTTTGATAGAATAAAGTACATGTATTGTAATCAACAAGGTATAATCTGCTTCTCATAAGAGTATCCAATAAAATAAATCTAGACATTATAAATGATTAATGTTAACGTGTATTTTCATCAGTGCAGTTTTAATCTATTTATTTCATTATTTTTCCCAGACTGATCTCTGACAGTATTCCTCTGTAGGATTATCATTCTTGATACGTCTAAAAGATTAAATTTTCATTTTAAACCTTAATATGGCCAGCATATTTTCATTGTCTGTAGTTGTCAGAGCAGAGCGTGTATCTATAGTTGTCAGAGCAGAACCTTTATCTGTAGTTGTCAGAACTGAACATTAATATGTAGTTGTCAGAGCAGATCCTTTAACTGTAGTTGTCAGAGCAGAACGTTGATCTGTAGTTGTCAGAGCAAGACCTTCATCTGTAGTTGTCAGACCAGAACCTTTATATGTAGTTATTAGAGCAGAGCCTTTATCTGTAGTTGTCAGACCAGAGCATTTATCTATAGTTGTCAGAGTAGAGCCTTTATCTGTAATTGTCAGATTAGAACCTTTAAATGTACTTGTCAGAGCAGATCCTTTATCTATAGTTGTCAGAGCAAAGCCTTTAACTGTAGTCAGAGAATAGCCTTTATTTGTAGTTGACAGAGCACAACCTTTATCTGTAGTTGTCAGATTAGAGCCTTTTATCTGTAGTTTTCAGAACAGAGCCTTTATCTGCAGTTGTCAGAGCAGAACCCTTATCTGTAGATGTCAGAACAGAGCCTTTATCTGTCGTTGTCAAAGCAGAGCTTTCATCTGTATTTTTCAGAACAGAGTCTTTATCTGTAGTTGTCAGAGCAGAGCCTTTATCTGTAGTTGTCAGATCAGAACATTTATCTGTAGTTGTCAGATCAGAACCTTTATCTGTAGTTGTCAGACCAGAACCTTTATCTGTAGTTGTCTGGGCAGAGCGTTAATTTGTAGTTGTCAGAGCAGATCCATTATCTGTAGTTTTCATAGTAGAGCCTTTATATGTAGTTGTCAGAGCAGAGCCTTTATCTGCAGTTGTCAGAGCAGAACCTTTATCTGTAGATGTCAGAACAGAGCATTTATCTGTAGTTGTCAAAGCAAAGCCTTTATCTGTAGTTGTCAAAGCAGAGCTTTCATCTGTATTTTTCAGAACAGAGTCTTTATCTGTAGTTGTCAGAGCAGAGCCTTTATCTGTAGTTGTCAGACCAGAACCTTTATCTGTAGTTGTCTGGGCATAGCGTTAATTTGTAGTTGTCAGAGCAGAGCCATTATCTGTAGTTTTCATAGTAGAGCCTTTATATGTAGTTGTCAGAGCAGAGCCTTTATCTGCAGTTGTCAGAGCAGAACCTTTATCTGTAGATGTCAGAACAGAGCCTTTATCTGTAGTTGTCAAAGCAAAGCCTTTATCTGTAGTTGTGAAAGCAGAGCTTTCATCTGTATTTTTCAGAACAGAGTCTTTATCTGTAGTTGTCAGAGCAGAGCCTTTATCTGTAGTTGTCAGATCAGAACCTTTATCTGTAGTTGTCAGATCAGAACCTTTATCTGTAGTTGTCAGACCAGAACCTTTATCTGTAGTTGTCTGGGCAGAGCGTTAATTTGTAGTTGTCAGAGCAGAGCCTTTATCTTAGTTGTCAGAGCAGAGCCATTATCTGTAGTTTTCATAGTAGAGCCTTTATATGTAGTTGTCAGAGCAGAGCCTTTATCTGTAGTTGTCAGACCTAAACTTTTATCTGTAGTTGTCAGAGTACAGCCTTTATCTGAAGTTTTCAGGACAGAGCCTTTATCTGTATTTGTCTTAGCAGAACATTTAGCTGTAAGTGTGAGAGCAGATACTTTATCCCAGTTGTCAGAGCAGAGCCTTTATCTGTTGTTGTCAAAACTGAACATTTATCTGTATTGCCACAGCAG